GGGACACCGTGAAAGGTGGGGGCGTGGCCTGGCAGGGATATCGGCGCGTTCCCACATTAGAAAGCCTGTTCACGCAAAAAAAACCGGAAGGGAAATCCGAGTTCACCACTCGGTCCCTCTCCCAGCTGTGTGGGACTACAGGTCACCCCATCCGTAGCCACCGTGGCTGCGGATAAGGGACAGTGTAGTCCCGCTCCAGTTCTGCTCCTTTTCCAGCGATGGTCAAACAGAGAAGAAATGAGAATCTAAGCCACTTTAGCCTGGGGCAGTGTTTGTCAACCTTGGCAACTTTAAGAAAGGTGGACTTCAACTCCCAGAATTCCCCAGCCAGTATCTGTGGATTTCAGCTCCCAGAATTCCCCAGCCAGCCTGGGAATTCTGGGAAATGAAGTCCACCCTTCAGTGGGGTGAATTTGCCGGGGTTCCCACAGGCTTAATGGCACCCAGTGCTGCAATCTCTGCCATAAGCATTTTTTTTAAAAAGCATTGCATTGTGGGAAGCATTCCTTCCGCACACCCCTTTTGCCTAAAGCCGCATTTCCCGTGAAGCAGGAACACGCGGACTCCGTGCCACATTGCAATTCAATCTAGGCAGCCACCTGAGTGGGCTTGAGCAAAAGCAGCAGCTGGGGGGGCCACACAGCCTCCCCTGGGGGAGAGGCAGCTGTTTGTCACGGGACCCCCCCCTTGGCCCCTGGAAGGAGGCTCAGATTGGAAGGACGGGCGCCAACGCATCACTGGCCTGAAAGGTGGTTACAGCTGGCTTCTTCCTAAGCAGATGAGAACGGGCCTTTAAAAAAAAAAGGAAGAAAACTCCATCCGGTCGTAAAAAAAGTCAGCACGTTGTTCTGAAGATGAAGCGTCTGTAAATCACTCATTTCCCTGGTTATTTTAGTGTCAGCCTTCCTTCCCCTCCTCTTCGTAAAAAGGCTGAGACGCTTCAGACCCCCCCAGTTATGCCGTCCAGCGCGGAGCTGCGCCTCCGGGGTCTCACTGGACGTCAATGCCCTAGCCCCTTCCCCCCGAATTCCTCTGGAACAGTGTTTTCTAAACTTGTTTCTCTCCTTCCCACTTCTAAAACTTATAGAGGGGGACCCCCCTAGATGGTTTGTCTGAATGGCTTATATTTATCGATATTGGCTGTATTAAAAATTAAAACGGATGCGCTCACGGCTGCTTCCACTTCTCACCGTTGTTGGGGGGGGGTGCTAATCTTATTTTTCAGCAAATCATTTTGGTTTCGCAGAGCCCCGAGTGGGTCTTGGGCGACACCCAGGGGGTCCTCAGACCAACTAGATGACCCTTTGCAAAAGGCTGCATGAACCTGACATTGATCGGTGTGGGTACAGCAGTGTCCGGAAACCCGCCTCTCCTTCTTCAGATTTTCAACCTCGAGTCGAGGATTTTCAAACACATCACTTCCCTTTCAGCTCAGAAAAGGGATCGGATGTGAATGACTTCAACTTAACCGTCCTGGGCCATCTTAGTTCCTGGAGAAAGACGTCATCTTCAACAAGCAGAGGCAACTGTGTTGACCGAGGGAAAATGAGTGTGTATATATACACACAAGATTTTTATCAAGCTACCTACCGTAAGGCTGGCAAAACAGTATGGAAGGCTGCAAATTTCCAAGCTCTCTCCAACAGAAACTCATGAAGACCCTGAAAGCTTGTGTATTATTTTATAAATGTCCATTTGGCCCCAACGAAAGTCCTGCCTTCCTCTGAATACCTCTTCTCTTTCAATTAAAGATAGCCACACTCGAATCAGTATTGCTCCAGGGGAATTCTAAATGCGGGGCTCTGAATTACAAAAGTGTCTGAAATCCCCAGCGATCACTTCCTTAAATCCCTGTTTATCTACCAAAGCTTCAGGGGAATAAACAGGAATTTAAGGAAGCGATGGCTGTGGATTTCAGACACTTTTGTAATTCAGAGAAGATTCCCCCACCATTTGCAGGACAGAGAAAGATAAGATTGATTGCTTCATTCAAGTTCAGGGATGGCACTGTTGCTCTTTGGAAGTTCATCTCAATTTAGGCCAGATAAACTTGTTTGCAGACCCTGTTGATCCAAGAGTCATGTGAATTTTTTTAAAGAGATTTTCCAGCGGGTAAACATTCTTCTGGACAGATGACTGAAAACCTTCACCTTTATGCCAGTGGCATATTTCCCCATTAAAAAAAAAAAAAAGCTTAGTGCTTTAAACCTGTTTTGTGATCATCTCTAAACCAGCGAAACAGATATTTTCCCCTGGAGATGAACCCTTGGAGAAAACACAGCAAATTTCCATCCCAGTGACGTTTCTAGCCTTTATGATCCAGAAGACTGCGGGGATGTTTCCAGCTGATTGCCAAAATGAACAATAATAGCAAAACCTACCATGGGTTATTTGCACAGAATAAGACATGCAACATTTGAATGCCCATTTTTTTCATGTCCAAGTGGAGAATACAAAAAAAACCCCCACATTCTCACCACTATCGTAACCCACCAAAGAGTGTCGCTTCTGAAGTCTTCGCTGCCAAAGAATTATTTATAATCCATACATGTTCCTTGGGGACAGAGAACTGGTTTGTCTACTTCGGAACAAATCGGAGAAGGGAAATGTGATCTGAAGTAACGCGGCTTGTGTGTGAGAGGTGAAGGGAACAATGGGGAAGTAGGCAGACCCAAACAAAATACTGTACCTCTGGCTCATTTTATTACGAAGAGACTAGTCCTCATGATTCCGATCTAAGGGGCTGACTCTCATTACCCTCAGGATTCACCTGCTAGCTAAAATGGGGTTCGCTAAGTTGCAGCGTCGTGGGCTACCCAAATCCAGCCTGCTTAGTTTCTGTACTGCGCCAGCAAAATTTTGCACAAATATCATTTCTTGTTCCTTTTTGGCATCATTGGCAGACGGGTGCTTCGTGCACAATAGGCTGGTCCCGGATGTGGTCTGTGGCACCCTGGCCAAGCAAAGCACACAGGTTGGCTGATCTGGAATCGATCCCGAAACAGAGAGAATAAATAAATAAGCTAAGCTTGGCCCATCTGGGCTAATTAAGGAGGAGACCTCTTTATGACTTGGACTGGAAAGCCCCAGAAACTCCCAGGGCTGTAAACTGGATCGGGAAGTTGGAAACCCATCCCGGAATCCTTGAGCCTTTCCAATAAAGAAAGATAGAAAATAAATAACATAAATCAGTGGTTTTAACACCCTGAGTGGCCACCAGAGGGCAGATAATGCTTACGAGAGTGAAAATTTCCTACCAAAGATTTAAAATTTAGGATGGACTAAATGCCGGTGCAAATCTGTCTTCAGCACATAGCCCAATGCAGAGTCACTCCACGGGTTCAGAAACGCACAACGGAGTTGGCTGAAACGCTTCACAAATGCAAGCCCAGGAAAGAGAAGATGCCGCGTCCTGCAAGCAGCCAAAGGTGGTATTTTATGAGACTGGAGGAAAAATTGCAGAGTCCAGATGAACAACTGCCATCTCCCACTTTCCTCATACACACCTAAGGGATTTGGAGCAGGATCGGGAATCTGGAGCTAATATTACGGCCCCATCAGAGCTGAATCTCTTCCCCTGTTGCATACTTCGGTTCCAGCATCCATATCTGGCTTTTTCAACATTCGCCATAACCCTAACGTTGCTGCCCGGATTCGAACCCGCAACTTTGGATCCACGTTCAGCTCCTTTGCTCCCACCCCACCCGCCAATGAATTTTCCCTCTGCCAGCGATCAGCTCTGCGTTCCCAACAGATAACCTTCTAGAAAAGGAAAATATTGAGAAGGGGAATTGATTTCTTACCCCCGTGGTGCATGTTAAGCTGGACAGAATCAGTGCAAGAACCAAGATCACCCTTTCCTGCACTGTGTCTACTACCTCACTAAGCCCAGATGTTTTATCTCTCCAAAAAAACAGGTGGATTTTGTCCAATTTGCCTCTCCTTTGTAGAATAACCACCTTGCTGATGACTTTAATTCGGTTTGCTCGGTTGTTTCTTTTTCTAAAAAAAAAAATCAATCAATCCCGGTAGGGCTCGTTTTTCCTTTCGACTCCGATGTTCTGCTTCGTGACTGCCAATTCTGTAAACAAAGGTTTACCTAAATAAAATAAAGTCTTCAATTAAATTGA